TGAAAAGATATTTGCCTGAGTTTCTAAATGTTTGCATCTGCCCAGCTCTGTGACTGTGACAAGCGCCCGACCAGCGCTTTACTGCGTAACTGCGCGCACACAGCCTGGATGAGCTCATTTCAGTTAATGAAGCAAAATGCAGATTACAGACTGGTTAAGTTATAAAAGGTATGAATGGAAAAATGTAGCGAAATTAAGAGCAGTCCTACATTAGATGTACCCACCCCTGCTGCCTTCAGCTAGAAGTAACAGCAGCACAAAGAAGAAGAAGCTGCACCGGCCTCGAGCAACTTTTTTATCTCCCTCAACATTTCTATACATTTTGTCCGCGACTGATGGTGAGTGTGTGAGTGATTGACTGGTCACTTAAACCGCCTCCTCAGGCCTCCTATGACCCAGCTTCGAAATCGCCTGAGCCAGGAAGGCAATGCGAAATAAAACGTTACATTAGGAAAGAGGGGGAGACACAACATGATTTTGAAATGAAATGTGTATAATGCTTCCTCTGCCTGTCAGGTGATGACCCTCACCACAAATCCACACAAGTTCATTTCAGCTCCTCTGATAAAGTGCAGCTCACAGCTGCTTCAGGTGGAGCAGAGAGGACAGACACAGAGCTACAGCTGGATCATTTTATTCTCTGCTAATTTGCAGTAGATTAAATATTAACAATAATCTCTCGCTCGCTTCCACGAGTAAAGTTCAATTTTCGGCTTTTTGTTGTTTGATTTTTAAAAACCCTTCTGAGATCCGGGGCTTTTCAAACGACGCGGCTTCATTGAATTATATAAACGTGTAATTATTCACTTCATCATCTTTTACACATTAATATCAATAGTTTTGACTTGGGGTGCAAAACAGAGTTGAAAATATCCAAACGTTTTCATTAAAATTTACAACAGGATAAAATACAGGAACATTTTTACATGTGGAAAAATCCACAATATCCAAATAACGGTGGAATTTTACTTTATCCATAATGAGCCTAATAAACAAAAGAAGTTGTTTTTAAGTCACATAACATTATTATAAATTAATATAACATAAATTAATCTGCACATTGATTTAACTTCAAATAGGCCTATTGTAAAATTATGAGATATCAAACATTTAATATACAAGTTTTACTTTAAAAATCAACTCTTACCTGCAGTGAAACGAGTGCTGACTCTCCAGTGTGATGTGCTGCTGTGCCGGTTTGATTTATGACTATTTACAAGGTTCAAGGTACAAGGTAGATTATGGTGATTATACAGCACAAGGCTGCATAACGAAACTAATTTTGTAGTTCCTTCATGCTACACACACAACATAGGCTATTAAGTGTAGGCCGAAATTAAAATATGGTAACATATGAAATAAAATAAAACATATGCTGTTATTTAGCCCTGCAATGGACTAGCGGCTTGTCCAGTGTGCAGGCTACCCCGCCTTTTGCCCAGTGTCAGCTGGGATAGGATCCAGCCCCCCGCGACTCAAGACAACACACAAGAGAAGCGGTTGACGACGGATGGACACGTACACCTCAAACACTCCACAGTGCATTTTCTGAATTTGCATCTGGGGCGCATGAACAGCAGCAACCAGATGATAACATGAAAGTTTCATCTTCACAATAAACAGTCTGACATTTGGGAAACAGAGTCCATCTTGACTGCGTTTGAGCACCAAGCATCATCGATGTAAAAGTCCACCTCTCTAAAGTCTCTCTAAAAACTATTACTGGGATAAACTTAATTTTATTGGTGAAACATTTTTACACCTAAAAATATTGAGAAAATTTAAAAGCTGTGAATTTATGAATTTAGTAAATGAAAGTTAGATAAAAAAGATAAAATTGAGTAGGTCTAGATCTAATTAAAATCTTAAGTGTCTGTAATAGAAACCCTTTGAGAAAACCACTAATAAATTTGAGTAGATATAACTGAAATTCTAAGTAGATATAACTAGAAACAATACTATTTTAACAAAACAAATGTGCAATATTTACTCAATGATTTACCTGAATTCAATACATATTAACTATTAATTATCTAAATAAATATATGTTACATGTTCTTAATTCTTTTAGCTATATTTACCCTTTATCTCCAGGAGTACATACACAATATATCTCAAGAAAAACAAAGCAACGGAACACATCGCATTTTAAATAGAAATGTATTTGTCCAATGTGGTTACTTTACAAAAAGGCAATATAAATAACAAATTACACGTGTAACAATGACCCACTATAAAAACAGTGAGCTCAACTCTGCACATTAGTAAGCTGTCTCTCAAAAATGGGTGAAATGCACCAAGAACAATTGGCCTTTGAATTAACGTAAGGTCCAGTGTGTAGAGAGATTTGCAAAATATAGCAGAAATAGAATATGATTTTCACAACCTATGTTTCATTAGTGTATAATCACCTATAATGAGCCTTTTTATTTGCACGGCACGGGTCCTCTTCCGCAGAGTAATGTTTCTACAGTAGTGCAGAACAGACAAATCAAAGACGGCTCTAAGGCCAAGTGTGCACGAGAAACTACGGTGGCAGTGAAACTTCTGAAAAATGGGAAGGCCCTCTCTAGAGTCATTGTTTGGTTTGTCCAATCAGGGCTACTGTAGTAACATGGTGGACTCTGATGAAGACGAAACGTGCATTCTCTAGAAATAGACAATTTTAGGTACACCTTGAACAATCTAGTGCTTTGCTGTAAAGTCTATTTTTATGATACATTTAATGTAAATGGTTTGTTAAATATCACAGAGGTGCTGCTGTGAATTTCATTAGACTGTTCAGGTGTATCTAATAAATTGCCCATGCTATGAGAGTAATTGGCTTAACCGAACTCTGCATATGGCAAATATGCACCAAGAACAGAGATTTAACAATTACACAACAAAACTGAATACCAGTCCAAAATCCAATGTTCACTTATGTAAACATTAAGACAATCCACCAGCCATCTTGCCAGACAGTAGTCAGCAACTTAGGTACACAGGTAATTTTTCAGTCACTGAATTTAGTTTGAAAGGTTTCCAGGATCCAGATCCAGCAGTACTTTTTGGAAGACCTCAAAACTGTAACTTTTGGGTTTTTCTGATCCAAGGCATAGTCCCAACAACTAGCAGCATTTTGAGTGATGCCCTCAGTCACAGTCCCTACATCAGTAGGTTATTTGATTGACCCATCTTGGTTCCGCAGCAGGTAAATCTTCACCTCTCCTGCCAACTCCTCTTGAACACCGACGGGTGCATTTGCAGCATTCTGCAGACATTGTAAAGAGGTTAGAGCTCACTTTCTTTGTAATAATTTCTCAAGAGTCTCAATATTAATTATATTTATTTAGAAATCACTCTCCATATAAATATTTATAAACACGTTAAAAATCAGTCATTCACAATATGGACACTACTACTGGCTATATTTTTGGGTGCATTGAAAAACGTTTTGTGGAGTCATGTTTGTAAAATCCCCAAAAAACTTTTTTTTACTTATCTGTTAGGAAATGTATTTAAAGGCAACACATAATGCATGTGGTTTCAAAAGGTTTAATATGTTCACCAGTAAAGTCAAGTGTGCCTAAGAATGTCCAGAATTAAAATCATAAATAGGGTCAAGGCAATAATCATAAATAGGCGCTTTCAGTGAATCAGAATCAGAAGGAGCTTAATTGTCAAGTAGTGTTTTACACATACGAGGAATTTGCTGTGGTGAGAAGGTGCTACATGTAGACAAACATACAGTCAACATAAATAAATGTAGAAATATATAAATATGGAATAGAAGAACAACGTTGCAGATATATAGGCCTACATGTGCATTATTCTGGGTCTGTGCCGTGCAGAAGAAACGCAAGGGAAGATAATATTGTGTACATATAAATATATAAACTGACAACATAAAAATATACAACAACAAAGATCAACAAAAAATATGTACACCGTGCCTGGGCCCTGTTTCAGAAAGTGGGTTTATTGAAAACTCTGAGTAAGTTCAGCCCGAGATGAGGGAAACTCTGGGTTTTCTGTTTCATAGAGCGAGATCAGATAAACTCTGTAACCCCTGCAACTTACGCTGTGAACCCGACCTGCTCGGGAGGAGGTTTAGTTGAACAAACGCTGAGTTTCTCTCTGACTCCTCCTGCGGAGCCTGAAGCGGCTGTCTGACATTTCCTCATTCAGACTGTCGATATCAAAGCACATAGTGGAGCACAGTTGCGTCTTTACAAACATCGAAATCACTGTCAAATAGGCTGTTAGTTGTTTTTTTTTTTTTACCCAAACATGATCTTGAACATGACGCTTTTATGATCAATCTGTCATCGAGGTATGGACAAAGAGTTATCTTTGGACATCATAAATTTATCCTCAGCACAAAATAAGATCTATAAGCTACATTTTTCTTCTTTATAACACAGTTACTCTGTGGATAAAACACTTGGGCCTACTGTGCGCTGCAGTGCTACAGTAATCATTGTTTAAACTAATCTATATAAAACTGATCAATCAACAGTAACCTTTCATATTGTTGTTGCACTGATTGAACATTCCTCTCGTAGTTATCAGCTGGATATAATGTGAATACTTCTGAGTGAGGATGACTGTGGTGCAGCTGAAACAAATAAATTTAGTTTAAAAGTGTGTTTTTCATTATCTGCTGATAGTCTGAATGTGTTTTGACAGCATTTCATAAAATACGAAATGAGCAAGATTTTATTACACTGTAAACAAACCAAAAAAAAGTTATTGACAGTAGAGAAAATTAATTTGTTTAAGTATAATCAACTAAAATGAATACACATGAATTACACACACTTAAATGGTAAGTAATCAAAATAGAAAAGTGTAGTGGAGTCTACTTAAAAGTACAATAGTCAAAACTTATTATAAGTCAAATACACTTAAAATTCTAGTTTTATTAAAAATATGAATATATAAAATTTTAAAATATTATATTTGAAATAAGAAAATTCAAATTGAATTATGCTTTTGTCAATGACCACACAATGCAGTACATTTCATTTATTTTATTTAGCAGCAACAAAGCAGTACAAACATTACAGTACCTTGCTATGATGCAGCAAACAGAACATGTGTATTGAATTAGGAAACGATTTCCTTCCAAATACAATCACAGCATAGTTTTGTAATTTTTTGCTCTGTGAACAATTTTCAAGTATGAAAAAAAATGTAGTAGCATACTGCGAGTGCAAAAGGAAAAACTGTATGCTATGTGTGCCACACAACAAAGCAGGCTTTAAGAACAACTATGCAGTGAGGACCAGAGTTGTTAAAAAACTGCAACTTTCTGACATGTGTCCTCTGTAGAATTATTTCAGTAAAATGAACAACACTGGACACATGCAGTACAAGAAGTATCACATACAAAATGAGCAACTGCAAGAATATTTGCTCCATTGAGTGCAATGTATTTGTGCAACAATCCAAACACAGACACGAAGAATTGTGTCATGAGCATAAATGTGTCTTACACCGCAAGATCATTCTTCAGCTTTTGAACCTTGGGAGGTAGCTCACTTCGACCCAAATTTAGCATTACCTGCTGAATAAAAGCAAATGTGTTTTTAAGCACTTGGGGTACTGCAGGTGGAGTGCGTAGGTAAAGCCAAACAAGAGGCACATTGCCTGAGGTAGGTTGGTGAGTGCTTCCATTACAAGGCTGCCCTCTAGGATGATCCCCACTCTTGAGGGGTTTAGTTGTTGCGATGCTGGGCTTGCTGGGCTTGCAGTGCTGGTGTCCTCATTGCAGAGGATTCCCACGGGAATGTCCACATGTCATTAATATTCTGTAGCGCGAGAAACAAGAAAAAAGAGCATTTTCAGGTTAACAGCAGTTTGTCTACAATCAGCTGTGTGGTCTTCATAAACATTATGATTTTCATAATTCACAGTGGTTTTATTTCGATAATGTTGTGTAAACAAGCTATTAGCGACATTGTTTGTGTGTTCATGTACAGTGAGGAAAATAAGTATTTGAACACCCTGCTATTTTGCAAGTTCTCCCACTTAGAAATCATGGAGGGGTCTGAAATGACAACATCGTAGGTGCATGTCCACTGTGAGAGACAATCTAAAAAAAAAAAAAAATCCAGAAATCACAATGTATGATTTTTTAACTATTTATTTGTATGATACAGCTGCAAATAAGTATTTGAACACCTGAGAAAATCAATGTTAATATTTGGTACAGTAGCCTTTATTTGCAATTACAGAGGTCAAACGTTTCCTGTAGTTTTCCACCAGGTTTGCACACACTGCAGGAGGGAATTTGGCCCACTCCTCCACACAGATCTTCTCTAGATCAGTCAGGTTTCTGGGCTGTCGCTGAGAAACACGGAGTTTGAGCTCCCTCCAAAGATTCTCTATTGGGTTTAGGTCTGGAGACTGGCTAGGCCACGCCAGAACCTTGATATGCTTCTTACAGAGCCACTCCTTGGTTATCCTGGCTGTGTGCTTCGGGTCATTGTCATGTTGGAAGACCCGGCCTCGACCATTCTTCAATGCTCTAACTGAGGGAAGGAGGTTGTTCCCCAAAATCTCGCAATACATGGCATGACAGTCATGTTTAGCTTCTTCCATTTTCTAATGATTGCTCCAACAGTGGACCTTTTTTCACCAAGCTGCTTGGCAATTTCCCCGTAGCCCTTTCCAGCCTTGTGGAGGTGTACAATTTTGTCTCTAGTGTCTTTGGACAGCTCTTTGGTCTTGGCCATGTTAGTAGTTGGATTCTTACTGATTGGATGGGGTGGACAGGTGTCTTTATGCAGCTAACGACCTCAAACAGGTGCATCTAATTTAGGATAATAAATGGAGTGGAGGTGGACATTTTGAAGGCAGACTAACAGGTCTTTGAGAGTCAGAATTCTAGCTGATAGACAGGTGTTCAAATACTTATTTGCAGCTGTATCATACAAATAAATAGTAAAAAAATCATACATTGTGATTTCTGGATTTTTTTTTTAAGATTATGTCTCTCACAGTGGACATGCACCTACGATGACAATTTCAGACCCCTCCATGATTTCTAAGTGGGAGAACTTGCAAAATAGCAGGGTGTTCAAATACTTATTTTCCTCACTGTATAGGTGTCTGTTGTGGTGTAGATCCTATGTTTTGATAATAGGTGGTGTTTTGGACAATGTGATAGAGAAATAGAGAATAGAGAACGGGTTAATTACTCTTCAAGTGTACTGTTGACCAGGGAGAAGCACTCGGTTTTTGAGTATTAGTTTATTCTCCATTCAAGTTATTATTGGGATAAGTATGCGTAGATCATTAAAGGCAATATTAGAAATACATCGGAGATGTTTGGATTCATTCAGTGGAGCCGTCACAAACTATGCTTCAACTGGACGTTCCAACAGCAGCCCCTCAGTGGTTTAGGGTTTTGGTTTTTGCAGAAATCAAGTCACTATACAAGCCCTTTGAATTTTTGCATAATTTGCCGTATTAAATGCAGTAAATAATTTCCTCTTGCTTACAAAAGCAAGCACAGTAAAAGAAAGCACATTATCAAGTTAAAATCAACTTAAGTTTAATGAAACATCTTCATAAATGCTAATTATCGTAACCCATCATCCCAAATAAACAAAAACTGGAATGGAAAAACTGAGTCAAACACCAATCAAAAAACTTTACTCACCAAACTGCTCTTAAAGAACGTAGACGCATCATCCCCAAGAATGACTGGAAGTCCTTTCAGGACAAGACATCTAATGGCTGTTGGCTCAGTGCTCTGCAAAGAGACTTAACACAAGAAATATATCTTATATCAGTTTATTTGTTCATACAGAGAAGTACCACAAGGGAAGTTGGGAGAATTTGTTTTTGTAATATGTATGAACTAACCATGAATATAATTACAAGAAAAAACAGAAATATCAACCCACTGTTGTCTGTTGTACCAGGTCAGCTAACTGCTTGCCTATCCGACCTGAAAAATATGAAATAACTTCAATTTCGATATTCAGGCAGAGTTACTTATAACATTAATAAACATCTCCGCACATGTTGTCCAGTTATGTATGTAACACAAAAAAAGACAAGATATTTAAAGGACACTTTCACAAACCTGGCTTTCAGTGAAAAGCGCTGGCCAGCGTTGGACCATCTGGCTAATGTCAGGCTCATGCTTTACAACCTCCTCCCTTCTAAGGGCAAATGTGATGTCCATGTTTTGTCTAATAATTTGGGTTTTTCCTCTGCATTTCATTGACCACGGCCTCTCGAACAGCTTCAAGCCTTGCGACATCCATTCCCTCTGGTAATTCTGGAAGGTAATTGATCTCCCCTTTTCTTGGCTTCTTTATGTTTTTGCGAGAAGGCTCACCATCAGCATTGTTTATTCCACGTTTACCTCCATTAACTGTTACATCAGGCCGTCCCAGCTGGCGCATTTTTGTTCTGTAATTCCCCATTTTACTGTAAAGTGAAGTTGTATTCAGGTTCAACTGATTTCTTCAACCAGTTTATTAAATCATGAACTGTATTTGGACTAGGAGTCATGGTCATTTTTTGTATGTCCCCCTCACAAAAAAGAACTCCCATCGTCAGCTTCTGTTGTGTAGCCATCTGAGAAAAAAAGAAACATTGCCAGTTTTAGAATATAACAAATCGCTTGAGAGTTACCATAAGCTTCCCTTGTACTTTGTATGCTGACAGTGGAAAGACATTATTTAAATCAGACAGCTCAACAACGCACATTGAAGGGCCATCAGTGTGGCATAGCTTGTAGGATCGAAAGTGCTCATGGTACCACGCCGTCATTTTTTTGCAGATAAACAAAATGTCTGGGTTAGCGGCAACAATCTGTATAATCTGACCAAATTCAGGGAGACCTGAACAGGAAACAATACAGAGCATCATATCTATGTTATACTTTATTCCGTCGATGCAGGCAGATGATGCAACAAGCACTGACCCAGTAGTGGTTATGTTTTGAGGGAGTACTCTCTGAACATCACTGGGAAAAGATGTGACCTAGACCATTGCAACCTTTGCCATGTCAACTGCTGGCCTGAAAAATGAGCTACAGTCCAAATAGTAGCTGAGTGCTTTCTGGTGTTTAGCAGCAAGAGTCAGGGCCACATTTTTAAAATCCTGGGACTCTGACAACTTTTTTGAAGAATTTATGCTTACCCTCAAAGCGCATAGTCCAAACCTCAGTCAAAGGACCAAATGTCTTTATCAGGTGAGGATAATGTTCCACATAGTGATGTTTTGGTCGCAATATGAAATTTGGAAAAGTTGACTGCAGCAGCTCTCTGTGCTCTGCCAACGTGCATCAGTGTGCTTAGGTGCCACAACAAGTTCCACAATATCTTTGAGGAGCCTGAGAATTTCCCAATAGTTATTTCCCTCAGGGACACAGTGATCAACAAAAGGTGGAAGAAGCCTGATGACGGACCAGTTTTTGTGACCATTTCCACCAATGGTCCCTTTGGTTGAAAATCCTTTGCCAATTGTCTGAGGCTGATCTGTCTTGTCTGTAAATGTGTTTTCCTTAAAGTTCTCTCCATCGACATATGAACTATATTCACGTGGAACATGCACCTTTTCTGTCATTGCTTTATCTAAAATGTCAGTTTTGTTTAGTAGTTGCTGTAGCATGTGTTGTATGGGGACATATACAACTGTTTTTGTGCCTTATTCAACAACATATTCTATAGGCATCACCAGGGGAAACTTTGTTGTTTGACACATCTAGATGTGTCAAACAACAAAGTTTATACCACCGTTTGTATTAGACCGCAGCATTCTTAGGTGAGCAAAAGTAATGAAACAACTAATCTTAAAGTAAATAACATTTAATATTTGGTGGCATAACCCTTGCTTGCAAAAACTGCCTCAAGCCTGCGACCCATCGACATCACCAAACTGTTCAAGGCTTTTATCGCAGCTTCTTTCAGCATTTCTCCATAAATTGGCAGACAAAATGTTTCTGTCCACTTCTGAATTCATTCTACTGCTACCATCATCAGTTACATCATCAATAAATATTAATGAGCCTGTTACAGAAGCAGCCATGCACGCCCAAGCCATGACATCACCTCCACCAGGCTTCACAGATGAGCTTGGATGCTTCGGATCATAACCAGTTCCTTTCTTTCTCCACACTTTGGCCTTTCCATCACTTTGCTAGAGATTAATCTTGGTCTCATCAGTCCATAAGATTGTGTTTCACAACTTTAGCGGCTCATCTCTGTACTTATTTGCAAATTTCAATCTGGCCTTCCGATACTTCCTGCTGATGAGTGGTTTGCATCTTGTGGTGTGGCCTCTATATTTCTGCTCTCTGAGTCTTCTTCCAACAGTGCATTTTGAATACCAGGAAATGAGACTGTATGTTTGGGATTTATTGTTAAGAGTGTTTTGTAGTTTTATTTCATTACAGCCAAACGTTTAGCTAATAGAATGTAGACCGTTGGATCCTGAACCGTTGATTAGCAGCGCTGTAGTTTACCATTGCCTTGGCAACCAGGTTTACGTCATACGTAAACAAAGAGGACGAATGAGAGAGAGTTTGATCATTAATGTTATTGATATAGATATACTTTATTAATCCCACAAGGGGAAACTCAATGTTTTCACTCGGTTGTTACTTGTTAGTATTTTACACACAAGTCTGTAAGCAGAATTGTAATTTTATATTTGTAGATACTAGAACGATAGAGAATGAGCACTTTTAATTTAGAAATATAGAATTTATCATTTTTAATAGTTTACTTTTGTATAACAGCCTATTCTGTGTTTATTGTGAGTCTGTTATCTTATTGATTTTAAAGACGTGGTATTATGCTAATTTTCAGGTTCAAAATCTTAATTAGGGGTTGTACCAGAACAGATTTACATGGTTTAATTATCAAAAAACTCCATATTTTTCTCATACTGCACATTGCTGCAGCTCCTCTTTTCACCCTGTGTGTTGTTCGCTCCGCTCTTGAGCTACAGAGTGATGCATCTTACTTGTACAAAATCTTTGTTAGGAGTTGCGCATGCGCAGTTCCCAGGTAAGCACTACTAGCCAATCAGAAGCAGAGAAGGGCGAGTCGTAAGAAACAAGGTAGTGTGATCCAAATCAAAGCCGCTTCAGACTGAGACGTAACCTAGCAGATGGTATAAGTTACTCACAAGTCCACAACATCATTGTTCCAATTCTTACAGAGTCGGAGTTGCATCGTCTTTTAGGACTAAACGTTGAACTGTTGCCGGTGTTCTGACGATCTCTGCTGCCTTGCTGAAAAATGCTACCACAGCGCAAATCGATAGACTCGACTCTACTCGGCCCTGCTCCGTTTTCCATTAGACAGTACCCAGAGATAGTACGTAGCTTGTCGTCATAGCGACCCCACACACAACTGCCGCGACGTAATGTTCAATGCGACACACACACCAGCGATCTACACAGCTTTCTCTTTTTTAAGTTAAAATGTTTCAACATTACTCAGAATGTAAAGACAGATAAGCGGTATGAAAACCTTCCAGCTGTGTTTTCCTCTGCTGTAGTTGCTGCAGCGGTCTGTGTGACGGCGGTAGCAGAGGGCTCTGTGAGCGGGCGGCTGGCCGGCCTCATACACTCCTCCCGCAGGTTGGCACAGGCTTCCCCCCGCAGCCACTTGCGGAGCTCCTCAACTCTGAAAATATTCAAGCACATTTTTGTTCTGCCATCACTTCTCGTAAAACTGTCAATATTCGAAATCTACACAGTTGATTTCACCTCAAAACTTCTCAGAAGTGGATTTACTGATGAAATTCCATACGAAAACTGTAAAATATAAAACTTTCTGTTGCTGGCCTCTGTCTGGTGCAGCAATGATGATGCAGTGAATAGTGAATATTCTCTCTGACCAATCAGCAGTCTGTCGTGTTTTCACGTTACATTTTAGTTTCCCTCAGCTCGCTTGGAACCTCGATGGAGTTGAGGTGATATGAAAAAAAGTACCTGGAAGCAGGTACAGGTACAACATTTCTACAATGGAAACCCAAACAAAGGCGAGTCGAGACAAAGGGCCTCCGCTCAGACTAGCTTGGTTTGAGGGCGTGTCTGACCCCGCTAGCCGCTTGGCAAGCTTTATGACGCGTTTTCATTGTGATGTGAAGTAAAGGAAAATGAAGGGCTGGACTACAAACCAGCTGTTTTCAAGCGGTTCAGAGCAGAGCTTTCTGTGGGAGACGGGAACTCCCTTTGGGCTGGACTTTGGGCTTTTTCACTTTGCAAACCTGTTACATGCACAAAAAAGAGAAATAACTCAATAAAGTAGAGGGAAAAAGCCAAAAAGCACAATACCACCTCTTTAAGTGAAGATATTTAGGGAATGTATAAATATTACTGTATTTTGATGTATTGAGATCTTAATATGAAATTGTAATTTTTGTATTATATTGTTATTGTTATATTGTAATTTTTGTATTGTTCCAACAAAGTTCAGTTGGCAGTTATCACAAGAAAAAAGTAAAACATCTGAGGAGCAGCCAACTCACCACCGTGTATTTCATTTATTCTTTCAGAGTAAATCTTTTCTAAAATATGTCAACCCTTGAGACAACTTGCACTCTATGGGTGTAACACAGATTATCAAGGTTACCCTGTATACGTGGACTACACACTACATCTGTCTTCAGTGTTAAAGAGAACAATTAATACATACCACTTAAGAAAATATTTTTTCATCCTGACTTGTTCCACTGGAGATAGGGCTAAACGATTAATTACATTTGCGATTATATGATAAAACGAGATTTATCTGCAGTCTGCAGAGGAAGCATCAAGTTGAACTGTTGTGGAGAATTACTAACCTTGTCTATTACACGAGAGAGCCATCACTTGGTTTTATTTTTGTCGTCCAATTTTTGCATTGAACCTCAAACGGAATGTTTTTTTATTTGCTTGCTCAGATACAGAAAAGGAGGTTTTAGTTGAGAGACAGAGTCTTGTGGAGATTTGAACTGAGAGTAGGACTCATTAATTGGTGGTACTTTACTATACACTTTGGTAAACGTTATTTTTCCTGTCATCTGTAGGTAGGCCTACCTGATATTATACTGTATAATGCCATTACTTGACTCTCAAATGATCTTCCTCTGAAATTATTATACAGTAATTTGATAGTTTTTCATTGCTCATACTAACAATTCATGCATTACCCAATTTCATTTTAACATATAAGCCTGGCCTAAAGGAAAGAGGAGTGTATGTTTAATCTATCTAATATTGTGTGCATACAATGATTTATTGTTTGTCTGTTTTAGGGGCTGCAGAGAGAGGCGGGGCAAGCCGGTGTGTTTACCTGCAGTGTAGGCTTTTTGTGTGTCTGTGTGTGGGGAGAAGAGAATTATTATTATAAAATTTATTATTATTATTTTACAATCACGTATTTTACAATCACGATGTCACGTCAGCCATCCCCTAACCCTAGTGTGTGTGGTATCCTAGGCTTTTTGTTTTAGCTCAAAATATGTAGTTGAATCCTAATTTTAAGGCTGATCTGATTCCATAACTTTCAAACTGCTTGTTACAAGAAAGGGACACACAAAGAGGAATATCTCCCTGCTAACTCGCTATGCTTCTCCTTTGCATGTTTGTGATCTCGTCTCAGTCATCAATGAATACATTAGTTAGAACTTCAAAAACAAACACTTAAAAAAAAAAAAAACTATTTCTAGAAAACTATTTTACTAACCTCAAAGTCCTTCATCAAGGCACTTGCATCTTTTCCCGGACGGTCAATGAGACATCGGATGATGACCTCTGACCTAATAAAACCTGCACATTCAAGCAGAGGTTTGCTTTACTGCACCCACTTCATTGTCAAAATGGTTTCAGTTGAGTTAACCTTAGATAAATGAAACATCAGCAGTATAGAACCGGTATCTGTGGAGGGATGCAAAGTAAATGCAAGAAAAAAACCCACTGAATACTCAGTCATGGCACAGATGAACAGGCAGATGCATGACCATATTTAAAAGAACCATTCATTTTATCCTGACAGTATTACGTGAGACAGATAAGAGTGGCTCCCTCCACTCCAGAGGGAATACAATTGTAGTACCTTAAGTAGAATACTCACTTCTGTCCGATGTCACTAGCCTGCAGCGCTCTTCTTCACCTTGGACAGGGACAGCGAGACATCAAACAAGGCAGGCCATCACCAGGATCTGTAATGGCAGCAAACAATAAATGTAGTGATAAATGCAAAATATCCGACAGCAATATTACGAGTAACCGTTTTTTTTTTTTTTTGATGATAAGATGATAATAATTAACATACTTGACAATAAATTCAACTTCACTTGCTCTAGCCATCATATAAAATGATAAAACCTATGTTGGACAAAGAGGGCACTCAGCTAAAGAAAAAACATAAAATACATTAGAGCAATGATTAAAAATGTAACTGTTGGAGAGAGACCGGAGAAAACTTAACATACAGCAGGTGTGGAGCAGGTGTGGAGCAGCAGGCACAGAGGTTATGATTAGGATTATATTATTTATTGTATCCACACTCTAACCTGCCCAGTTGTTTATCAATACCAGTGGGTTAATTTTCATTGACATTTTTTAAAAAGAATAAATTCAGACAAGGTTTAGAATTTATTAACATTTTAAATATGAGAGTAAATGTTGTGTCTAGCACAGCAACAGTAAAGTTTTCAACAGCAAAGTCACTACATACACTCAATAACACTCACTGGAAAAAGTTCTTAAATGTCAATAAAATAAAACATATTCATGACATCAAAATACTGAGTGTAGATTAGCAACGATGTTATTCATCCTGTCCCCCTCCAACATGTGATTCACTGGCTTGTCTCAGCCTGATAAGCAGTTAAACTCCATACAGACAGCTTTCTCTTCACCATGTTCAGTGGTGTGGTTGTAGCTACTGTGGAAAAACCATATAGAACTACCTTTCAACGCTTTCAACAAGAGAAAAATGTATTTTCACTTGGCTGTCTCCCAAGGGCCCGTGTCCACCATTACGTATGACAGCATGGCTACAACAGTTCTCAGAAAAATACCACCAGTGTGAATGCACAAAGACACGGTAAATATTCATTAACTTTTACTAGCTGGACACTTAATTTACCAGCGTTTGCAGGGAATAATCCAGGTGCTTCTTGTGGTGTGTCCTTCTCTCTTGCTGCCACTTGTTGGTAGGCAGATTTCCCATGAGGCCGCACGATCAGCGTAATGTTTGGCCCGTAACAATTTCTTAAGTAGTAGGTAAAGTTGAAATAATATTAAGTGTATTTTGACATTTCTAAGATATTTCATATTTTTCTGAGTCATTTCCTTCCAATGTCGATTAGTTTGCCAAATATTTTTTGCCAAATGGCTTAATTTTGTGCTCAAAGTTGCAAAAAGTTGCTTAGTTGTTAAAACGGGGTGGTGACGTGTGACTATAGTAATTTCATAAGTCTCGTTGAAAAAACTGTCAGGCCTCCTTAAGTCAGAGCATCAAACCGATAAACGTTGTGAGCTAACCAATTTATCATGTAATTTACTGAGAACTCTCTGTGTCTGATTGTTGATCTGTATAGTTTAGTTCGCTAAGTTAACTAAGTTGTAGTTAGCTTGCATAGTTATTGCAGAAACTTAGCTTCCTCCTCTTGGTTTAGTGTGCTGTTCATTATAGCATTTGTGCGTGCGGTGTTGGAGGACAGATGACAGAAAACGCGTCGCACTTTCACAGTCTTATACACAGTCTGCAACATGCATTTTACTGACGGCCGTTTCACCAAAGCATCGGCGGAGACACCCCCCCCACTCCCTCGCGGTAAAGTAAGAGCACCATAAAAAGTAGTGGGAGTTATCGTGTGCAGTGCGTGACAAGACCATCGACTGTATGATTGATAACAGCTGATAGGCCACATTAGTTTCTATCCTGGGTAAATAATAGCTGCTCCTGCCAGACAGTAAAGTGTACTAAACTTTACAGTGTAGTGATGTTAACACAGCATATCGTTAGTGGACACTCCAGCCGCAGTTTTTAGTTGTCATGGTAATTGATTACGTCCGACTATGAACCACACCCCCATTCTCTGTTTGAGAAAGAACGTTCCCCAAAAACGGCAGTTAAAACTGGCTGGAGGGGGTTTTAGGTTGGAATGAGTAATAATTGTGGTTCTTGAAACTAATCATTAGAATTAATCCGTTCTCAAATATTTTGATTTAAATTTACCAGACATATTACGGATATCTAAAAACTGTAATTTGTCAGGCAAATACTAATTTCATTTTGTGAAGTAAACCTAAATGATAACTGAATAAAAAATTAGCTGTTAAATCTCTAGGCATTTATTTTGGTATGTACAACTCAAACAATCACAAAAGAGATATCCAGAGATTTTATTAAGTTAGTATAGCTATTTATTACTATTATATTTACTAAGCCTGTGAATCATTGTATGCACTCACAGCGTTATCTGGTCAGTATGAGTCCCATTTTGTCCAGACTCTAGGAGCAGAATTAAATCCAAGCTGGGGCAGCATGGCTCCTCTCCTGGCTCTCTTTACCCTCCTCTGAGCGATCACCGTACCCGTGGTTTAATCCAAAAACCCCGTCTTCATCTTCCAACGACTGTACTTATGTTAGAGGTAACACGTGTTTCGGCAAGTTTTGAAGGAGCAACCGGCTGCTGCTTCTACAAGCGCTGCTGGTTGCCATAGCACTTCTAGGTTCATAACACTTGTGATGTGCCAAAGTACATGCAAATCCTTTGTGTACATTCCTGATGAAAGATTAACTCAATAATTGAGTAGCAACAAACCATTGCCTTTGAAGAATTGTTTAATAAATGACAGAGAAGTATTACAACAGAAGATCAGCTGGGCCAGAGGGCCTGTCCTCTAGGACAGTAACTATCGTCTTTGAGCAAAGGGATGGATCATCGTTTAGACAGTGCAGGTCTTATGTTTTGGGGAACAAATATCTTCTCCCAGCCTTGACTGAACATTCAAGACTATCTACTTACATCGCGAGTCCTCCAACATGGATGTCACCATGTTGCGCCGCCATGTTTCTACAGAAGAGAAGTAGTAGTAGTCGTAGTCGTCTGGTTCATCAGAAGTAAGAAAAGAAATTTGGACAAATGGAGGACCACACGTATTATTTGTTGGCCCCTGTAGCTTCTCCTGAGCGCTAGGAAAGAGAGAGGTGTCTAGATGCCTGCGTGCTTGTGACCCCTTGTTCCTCTTAATTTTGGTCACATAATCACAAAATAAATGTCATGCATAAAGACTTCTCTTTGTCTTCTTTGACAGTAAACTGAAAATATTTTGGGTTTTAGGCTGTCGGTCATATAAAACAAGTTTTTAGAGAGTTTGAAATACTTTGGCCTTCAGGAACATGGGCACTGTATAGGGGAGAAATGTTAGGACAATTCCAAGGGCCTCTGACTGACAAGGGAGTATAAATATAATAATAAAATGAATGATCTCTTGTTTGTGTTTGGCAGTAAAAGTTAAAAATCCCCACTGACAAAAAAGTAAACCTCCATATTGACCGACCACCCCCCTGTATCTGCATGAAATAGTTTGGTCCTGCCTCAGCTCACACATCAGTGAAGGTGTTTAGATGCAGTCAGTAGATGCGCCAGAAATACAGTGAACACAATGTTGCCTAGTAAACCAAAACCTGGTTTTCAAAAAAGGAAAGACAGAAAAGAGTTTTTCACCAATAAAGGTGGGCAGCCTTTAGTCTCTGAGTGGTGTTAACCTGTTGGCTTAATGTCCACAGTGAAATAAGCTAGCTACAGACTCACTAAAAGAGGTTTTAACCTCAATGTGACTTTCCTAGTTAAATAAAGGTTAAGAAGTCTGGTGTTAGCCTACATTTCATCAACATTTCATCAGTGCACAGAAACGTTTAGCAAGATATTCATATTAACTTGTTGTCCCCGCCCCTTTTAGCAGACTAACAACAGGTGAGTCAGCAGCAGCCCAGTCTCCCCATAACTGTAGCCTCTCTGTCCCAGTGAAGAAGGTGAGCAGCACTGTGTTGATGGCAGGCCAGTTAGCATCATTCCAGGGAGGCTGTGCAGATTTCTCTGTCTCTCCAGCTCTGTTTACCATAACAAAAAATGACAATGAAATATTTCTTTACGCTTTAATCACTTGTTTAATGAAATGTATGGGGTTGATTGTTCTTATGTTGTATGTATGATGCTATGGCAATGTTGTTGTTACACATTCAAGCCAATAAAGCTCATTTGAATTGCATTTCTTAATGACAAACACAAATTACTTTCTCACATAATGAACATTATGAAATAAATAAAATAACACCTTCCTGTCTGTACTGGATGCTGGACAGCAGCTTACCTCAGCCTGCATGTAAGTTACAGACTGTATCAAAATAATCCAGTTTGATACGTTAGACTGAATTATGGCTGTTAAATGACATTTATAGATACAGACTTTATTATTCCCATCATGAAGGGCAATTTATTTGAGATGCAAATAGTGAACTGCATCCTGTATGCAGACTTGCATGTACAAATCATCAGCAGTAAATATTGTGCTAGTACAAGAAGCCAGACACTTGCAAGCCTATAGTTAGAGTTATGTAAAGCTTTGGATGGGACAGTTAAATCCTAGAGACGTGGTGACAACAGCTGTACAGAGGAGGTCATGGGCGCAAAATTCCTGGCGGCCCCCCTGTTCAGGAAACTGTAGTTTGCATTTTCACCATCTTCTAGACTAAGCGATTAAAATACATTTATTGTTCCTGGAAATGTAATGAAACAGTTAAGTTAATATTGTACCATTGGTTAAACATTATAAAATGTTTCAACACACAGCAGATCAGAGTCCAAGGTTTAAATTTCCCCTCCTTTCTCCAGGCCAGTGTCGTGTGATTGGCTCACTTCAGCGAATCATCACTAGTCCGAGCGATGACATCATTCTGCCGTGCCACCTGGATCCCACTTACAATGTGGAGGGTCTGACGACGGAGTGGTCGAAGCCGGATCTCAAGCTCGACCCCTCTGATCGGCTCAGCCAGGTCAATAATGTGCACGTTTACAGGGACGGACTTCTGCAGCTTCACAAAACAAAAAAGAAAAATTGGATGAAATTTTTATAAATATCTAATTATATCTTTTCATGTGACACTGAAGAAATGACACACACACACACACACACACACACAATGTAAAATAGTGAGTGTACAGATTGTATAAAAGTGTACATTTGCTCACTACTTTATGATGAATGATTTTTGACGCCCATACACTTCATAGCTGTTTGTACTTGACATGCGATCAGGTTACCATATGAAGCTGTAATACCATAACTTAGAATATTCTCCAGCACTGCATGATAAAAAAAACTACATACATTATTGCTTGACTCTGCATTAAAAAAACTGCATCCTCTGTTGTAGTCTGGAGCAGAGACCTAACAGCTTTCCTAGTTGTCGTCACAACACGGAATAACTTCCTAAGTTTCTGTATGATAAGCTGCTGGATTGTTTTCCTTGTGCATAAGGTCGAGTGTTGCTGTATCAGTTGTTAGAGTGGAGTCACTAGTCATGTCCTGACCTGGGCTCAGAGAGAGCATTGTTTACTCTAACCTGCTGAGTGTGGTTTGTTAAAAATGTTTAATTCTAGTTGAGACTAAAAAGAGTTAATGTGCATGCGCTTCAGTTTCTGGATGAGCATGTGAGGCTGCAGAGTGTTAAAAGCTGAACTAAAATCAACAAACAAAATGTGCATCAGCCTTGGAGTCTGCAAAAATATCTAAATTTTTCACATTATACCACCCTGCAAAAGCAGGTTTTAATGACCACGAACATTCTTTTTATTGTTTATTATTGTTTTTAAGTATGCTTTGCACCTGCCTTGGAATTCTCTTCTCCCCACACTCCACACACTCTCACCTCAGGTAAACACCCCGGTTTGCCCCGCCTCTCTCAGTCTCTCTCCCCCGCAGAATTCGTCTTTTTTTTCATATATTTCCACCCATGATCCGTTATCACGGCAGCAGGTGAGCAGCAGGTGAGCCGCACGGCTTATTAATGACGTAGCCTCAAACAACTGAAACCAACATCTGCACCTTGTGTGTTCACTGTTCAATGCTGCTTTACCTGGTCCATGCGTAAAATATCCACCGCGACTTGTAACGTAAGTTAATAGTCCCCACGCGCGTTTGCACGCACGATGACCTCGTCCATCCGATGTTTCATTGTAGACATAGTCCGATGCACCGCCCAACCCTACTGACCAGACGTGAAATGCTGTTAATAGCATCATCTCTACTATGCACCTGCTTACAAGAAAAATTAAAAGGATCTAAAACACAACAATATCTTGCTTAAGAAATGGCACCATTTCAGGACAATAGTAGGAGGGACGAAAAAATGACATATCTATAAATTAATAAATAAATGTAGTAAATAAGAAATAAATTATAATTAGCCTAAATATAGTTTTATAATAAAAAAGGCTGTTTCTGTATTTATTTATGCATTTCTACATTCATTTATTTATTTATGTATTTCCACATTTATTTAAGCCTGTGCGTGTATGCTAATTGAGTGGGTGGTGCCAACATCAGTCTGAAGCAGGATTGGTTATAGCGATGTGATCAGATCTACTACTGTCTTGACTTCACTGGAGAGTGAGTTGTAGCCATAGACTGTAGATAAGAAATGGACGTAGTCATCGTGACGTCACCCGTTGGTTTGTGGACCGCCGTTTTTGAAGCCTTGAGTTGGCCGAATGTGAGCTAGTTCCCATTCATTCATCTGAAGATTCCAGTATTGCTTCAATAAAGGTTAAGACTGAAGTAAAATATTTAGGAATAGTCTTATCCAAAAATGCTATTAGGAGGGAAGATTTTTCTGACCGTTTAATCGATATGAAAAAGGCACTGAGTCGTTGGTTAACCAGAGACCTCACTATCTTTGGTAGAGTTATGCTATCTAAAACAATTGGCATTTCCAGTGTAATTTACCCTTGTCACTCCCTATATGTATCTTCTAATAATGTTAAAAAAATCAATTCAATTATTTTCCAATTCCTTTGGAAAAATAAAACTCATTATATTAGGAAATCACAGCTTGTCAAAGAGTATGAAAAAGGTGGTATCAAAGCCTTGGACTTGCAATGTTTGGGACCCTTCAGATTAATTGGTTGAAAACATATTTATCACAACCAGACTCTATGTGGTTTCACATACCCAGATCTTTATTTAAAAAAATAGGTGGGCTTGATTTTTTCTTACAATGTGATTTTGAGGTGACCAAGACTCCTGTTAAACTTTCACAATTCCACAAACAACTTCTTCAGTACTGGAAAATGATATTTACTCACAATTTTTCTCCCCATGGTTCCACCCTATGGAATAACAGGGTCATTAGAATTAATAGGAAATCATTATTTAAGACTGATTGGTATGAGAAGGGCATTGTGTTTGTTGATGACACATTAGACAATAATGGTAAGTTGTTAGAGCATACTGCTTTTCTGAACAAATATACTCTAAACTGCACTCAGAAAGAATATAAAAAGATATGTAAAGCAATACCATTACCATTACTACAGCTAATCCAAAACACATTACTGTATGCAAGAATAAGACCGCTACCAACCTTACCCAATCTTGTAATTAATGAATGTCACATACATGATAAAAAATGTAATAACAAACATATTTGTACTTTTTTTAAATCCAAGCTTTTTCTGATTATAACAGAGGGCTGTGTGTACAGGTTCCAAATATGGATACCTTGTCCATAGATAAACCACATTTCAAATTCATCAAATGGCCCATTTCCCCTAAAATCAAAGAAACTCATTTTAAAAATAATTTACAAAATCTATCCGGTTGCAGACTTTCTTAAAAAAAGGTTCAAATTTGAAGTAGATCCCTGTATATTTTGTGAGGCTGCTGAGGAGACTCTGGAACACATGTTCTTTTCCTGTCCCTTGTCCAAAACCTTTTGGTCTGATTTACATAATTGGCTGTCAATTAAGATTGATAATATTCCATCTTTTAATTTGTCACACATCCTCTTTTATATGGACAATGTAGATCCGCCTTCGTCTGATCTGGTGAATATGATTGTTCTCATGGGTAAATATCATATCCATTGTAGTAAGTGGAAATCTTCTAAGCCTTCCTTATTGTGGTTCATAAATAATTTTAAATTGTTCTTTTCATCACTGAAGAATGTTAAATCTAGTATAATTGCAAGAAAGATGTGTAGAGTTATATCCAGGCAATTATTGTTTTAACAATCTCCCCTTATTGCTGTACCGAAATGAGACCTTATTTTGTTTTCTATAGCCTTTTTACTATCTGGTACCCCCATTCTCCTTTCTGTTTATTCATTTATTTTCATTTATTTCCTGTGTTTGTAAGACTGGTTTTTGATTTGTACCAAGTGATCTAAATTTTGTTCCCCATAGGAGAGTGTTGTATGTTAATGTGTCATAACAATAATAAAAATAAAAAAAACAGTTTGGCCGATAGGGCGCCGCCATGTCGAGTTTTTGCAACCAGGAAGTGCCCGGAAGTGACGATACGGTGGAGCTAACGGCCATGTGTGGAGCTAGCTAGCTTGCTTAGTTAGGTGCATATGTAACTCACGTTAACTGTCATTTTAACAGGGCTGATAATTTTGTCTAGCGAACAACAGTCTTAAAACTATATGTACTCACCAGAGAAAGTGAAAAGCCGACTCTTAATAAGCCTTTTCAACGGCGCTGGTTAAATTTACACAGTGCCGAGGGCACGAGTCGGCTCTAGCCTGATTGACAGGTCGCCATAGTAACGACTTGTCAATCATAGATTATCCCGCCCTGAAACATACTCCAGGGAGAAAAGGGAGGCAGCATCAAAAATACTTACAAAGGAAAATATAGAAGCAGATTTTGTGAAAATTGTTTTATAACACATACATCAATATAGTCCATCACAGTAAGAATGTCCTGTTTCTAGCACGGAGCACAAACAACACCAGTTTATTCCATAAAAGTCAGGAATGGCATGATCAAGCTGAGTACATGCAGAGGACCCAGATCCAGGTGCAGTAGGAAAGAGAGCCAAGAGATGATATGAAGCCAAGAAACAGAGCTATAAAAGGAGGTGAAAGTCGGTCGTTACATGGTTTTTATGTCGACTCTGGTCTCTGTTCTGGTAACAGAATGGGGCTCTATTTTGATCTCTGACACACTCCGCTGGAACTTTTGTGTTCTAATTGGTGTCTGTTTTTGCTGATAATAAAAATGTTGGTAAAAGTTCAAGCTTTCTTATCTGGCCCAAGTCTTGAATTTTTACACGACATTAATGCAACTGTGATAATGTTCTCAAGCACTGGGTTAACAGTTGAAACTTCCTGTTTTCAAGCTGGTCAGCCACATCCCCCAGCAGGTCTGCCAGCAGCCTCCCTCTTGAGGCCATTGTGTGAATTAACTGTCTATATTATACTACAAGGTTAGCTACACAGTAAAGTCAGCAGTAAGTCTGAACTTTTAGAGTGTAAGTTAATATTTAACACTACACCACACTAAGAAATGCAAATCAAGTTCTACACTAAGAAAGAAATAACATCCTATGTTATTCATAATTTTCTCCCATTAATTCACTCTTCATGAGTTTTAAACCTTTTCATTGACTCCTGCAATTCATGAAATTCACTAACATTTACTCACCTTAATATGTAGGGTAACGTGGGGTAAAACTCCCCCTGTGGTAAGACGCCTTCCCACGGTAATTCTAACAAAAAACACAAAATTTCACAATTTTAAGGGGAGCCTTAAGAGAAGTTATGCAATTGTTTAGAGAGAAATTTTTTTTTTAAAATAATTTTTGGTTAAAGTACGAAAATTAGTATGTTTGGGGTGCAAACAGTGGGGGGCATCTTTACATTTGATGAAATTCAAATTAATTTGTCAACTGTAGGTATTTACTTTATATTATGTTACTTTAAACATGGCCATGGGCGTCTTACCCCACTCTACCCTATTCAATATTTAATATCAGTGAATGTCCACAGCAGCAGCGGGTATCCGAGGTGTTTACGTTACCAGGGTAACACACTGCGGAACTGACGTGTGCTTTGATGCCGTTGCTGAATGGAGGGAATGCTGCGTTCAATGCAACTCGGAAACCCAGTTCCGACCGGTCTCGAACGCGGCATAAGTTCCCTTAACCTCACCAAAAGCTAAAGAAACTCATTTTAAAATATTAAATGATATTTAGGCCTGTCCTTGTAATGTTTTTCTGAAACACAGATTTATTGATAAGAATAGGCTAATTGTACTTTCTGTAATGTGGATATGGAAACTTTAGAGCAATCGTTTTTTGCTTGTAATTATCTAAAATCCTTTTGGGTTTCGGTTCATAAATGGATATCTGAAAAGGACTCTCAGGCACCAAGGTTAGAGTTTTGTGATATTAGATTTGGAGTTATATTGAAGGATAAAAAAAGAGACTTAATGTTTACCACACTGTGTCTAGCAACGCAGTCAAACTCCGCCCACTCACCATAGAAACAAAACATAGGCCAACAAAACAAACACGTCATCATCACACGCTATAAGGAGTACAGTGACTCCTTCAGTAGTTCAGCGCCAGCCGAGCTCACTTCAGGAGGTACTTTTGTATATTTGTCTGGCTCTCAGGTGTTTTTATAGTTCACTTTGGAAAGTTCATGGTTGGCTTTACCTGTTTTCCACTCTGGACTTTCGCTGTATGTTTGAGTACGGCAGTGTGGGCGAAGCCTGTTGAAGGTAAGTTCATATGTTTCGTTACCAGAGCTAACAGTTTCTTTCATTCATTCATTCAGTCAAATGTCGAGCGATAATCAGTTAATAATACTAATATTGTTGTTAGGCTATACATTCATGCCAATAAAGCTGACTTGAATGAAGAAAAATAAGTTAAGTATCGACTGTGTCCGTTGTTCTCCTGATAGTTTAGGCTAGTGTTGCCCACATGAACTGAAAAGAATTGTTACAGCCTATTCTTCAGTAACGTTATGGCTTCGCTGTAACTTTAAAACAACCTATAACACTTATGTGATGTGTGGATCAGTTAAAGGCAGGGTAGGCAAGTTGCTTCTAAACACTTTTTGACATATTTGTTGAAACTGTCTTTATTCACCAGTGCATATTAAAAAGTTAGGCGCTCTGAAAAAGAGAGTATGAACCTCTGCTGTCTCTAATCCTCTCAGCGCTGCAGTAAACACAGCCGCTCGTGTCAGTGATTGGCTGGCTGACTGTCACTCTCCCTCGCTGCCATGGCTACCAGCCGTGCAGCTACAGGAGCTGTTTATTATACCATGTTTACACCTATCTTTACACCTTGTATCTAATCTGTTTGTGTAATTATCTCGTGTCTGCAGGCGTTGTTTGACTGTATGTTACTCTTTTACAAATGATGTAGCTGTGTGATTGTAGTTATGAGAAAGACATTTCAACGTTAGTGTACATAAACAAAGATGGCTAAAGGTCCACAAGTATCTGTGTTTCTGGTATACAGTCAGTGATGGTTTGGGCTGCCATGTCATCTGCTGGTGTTGGTCCACTGTGTTTTCTGAGGTCCAAGGTCAACGCAGCCGTCTGCCAGGAAGTTTTAGAGCACTTCATACTTCCTGCTGCTGACCAACTTTATGGAGATGCAGATTTCATTTTCCAACAGGACTTGGCACCTGCACACAGTGCCAAAGCTACCAGTACCTGGTTTAAGGACCATGGTGCCCCTGTTCTTAGTTGGCCTCGCCTGACCTTAACTCTCTAGAAAATCTATGGGGTATTGTGAAGAGGAAGATGCGATACGCCAGACCCAACAATGCAGAAGAGCTGAAGGCCACTATCAGAGCAACCTGGTCTCTCATAACACCTGAGCAGTGCTACAGACTGATCGACTCCATGCCACGCCGCATTGCTGCAGTAAGTCAGGCAAAAGGAGCCCCAAGAAAATACTGAGTGCTGTACATGCTCATACTTTTCATGTTCATACTTTTCAGTTGGCCAACATTTCTAAAAATCCTATTTTTTTGTATTGGTCTTTAGTAAAATTCTAATTTTTGGAGACACTGAATTTGGGATTTTCATTAGTTGTCAGTTTTAATCATCACAATTAAATGAAATAAACATTTGAAATATATCAGTCTGTGTGTAATGAAAGAATATAATATCCAAGTTTCACTTTTTGAATGGAATTACTGAAATAAATCAACTTTTTGATGATATTCTAATTATATGACCAGCACCTGTATAAGATACCTATAATATAGTTTGACATTGTTTGTAGCTAAACCTACTGTGTGAACCTTTTACTGTAACTGGTGTTATGCCATTACTTATTTTACCAGAAGTAAAAAATCCTGTATTTTTTATTTCTACTAACTACTGTATAAGAGACAATGTCAGGTGTTATTTATCAGGTACAGCAAGGTGTACAACAAAAAGTCCAGGAAGTGGAGCTTGTACTCATTGAAGGTGGAGAAGGACTAGTTATATCGCAGACCTCCAGAGGCCCCCTCCTCCTCCTCCTCCTCCTCCTCCTCCTCCTCCTCCTCCTCCTCCTCCTCCTCCTCCTCCAGTTG